GAGCTTTTCCCGGCCTCTCTTTTTGGCTTGTCCTGAGGCTAGAGTCTATGGCAATACAAGAAAGCGTGGCCATTTACTTGAGACCTGCCTGGGGAAAAGAACGGGCCCTCCAAGTCTCAGCTGTCAGGGTTGAGCTTCACTCGTTTTACTTGGCAACTCTCGTCGTCCAGGTGGCAGAAACCTTCTGTGGTGATGTCTCTTTTCTTCTCCTCCACGGATTCCCAAGGGAAGTCCTGGTCTGTGGCCAGTACCTGTCGGACAGTCATGTTCACACGAGCGGTTTTCAGGTAGCTGCTGCACACCTGCCAGTCCTCCTCAGAGCAGGGCTCTGCCACTGAATCTCTGGGGAGGATGGCTGGGAGAGGTGTCTCTAGGCAGCACGGCAGGCTCTCCCCTTGAGGACTTGGAAGGACCCTTGGGACTGCATGGTTCAGCAGGCGGCTGAAACCTGACATTACCATGATGTCACCGCTGTGCAGAAACAGGGCCGTGGGCGCTTCATCTCTTTTGAGGCCACCCAGGAGAAAGATGGCCGACTGCCCGAAGCTATGCAAAAGTAAGTGAAACGGTACCCAACGGTAAGTTTCTGCTACGAACCACGGCTGGGAAAGTTACTGCCAAGCGCATTCCTTCTGAGTTTCATCTCAACACTTACTGCTCTCACATCCTCCTTTTTAATCCATGCTAAGACCCTTCTCTTCTGGCTTGTGTCTCTAAGTGACCAACGCATGATCTATCTGCTGCTTAAACTTAGCACAGCCCACGGGACCGCTACAATGTAAAATTTGAAGCACTTAAATAAGCAGACTAAAAATTTAGTTTTACTATTACCAGTATAAGTTTTAGTGATGCCTCTTTAAGATTTAAGCCTTCCAGGGGCGCCTGGGTGGCTCAGTCGGTTAGGTGACTGCCTTCGGCTCAGGTCATGATCCTGGCGTCCCTGGATCGAGTCCCGCATCGGGCTCCCGGCTCGGCGGGGAGCCTGCTTCTCCCTCTGACCCTCCTCCCTCTCATGCTCTCTGTCTCTCATTCTCTCTCTCGCAAATAAATAAATAAAATCTTTAAAAAAAAAAAAAAAGATTTAAGCCTTCCAATGAATTGAGTCCTTTACTATATTTATCAGGCCCATTCACTTTTTTTTTTAAAGATTTTATTTATTTATTTGAGAGAGAGAGAGAGTGAGCAAGAAAGAGAGCACATGAGCAGGGGCAGAGGGAGAGGGAGAAGCAGACTCCCCTGCTGAGCAGGGAGCCCAATGTGGGACTCGATTCCAGGACCCTGGGATCATGATCTGAACCGAAGGCAGATGCTTAACAACTGAGCCACCCAGGCAGCCTGCCTGTTCACTTTAAAGATAAGGCAATTAATAAAAGACACTGTTCAGGCACTTTCTTTGTGAGATACAGCTGCAGCACTTTGCCCAATTTAAACTTATGTTTAGGGAGGCAAGGCAGTAAACTAGTCAGGCTTCTGTGCTTTACTCTTCCCTATTCCAAAAAGGTTGCTCGTTTCGCCTATGGCCTTCCACTTGCCTATTCCATGGACACCGATGATACCTTTCAATACAAAAGGTGGACTCCATGCATCTTAAACAGAAATATTAACTGTAATTTGGTTACTACTCTTAAGGACAAGGCTAATTTTACTTATGATAACATTGTTAAGACACCCAGAAGTAGAAGCTTATAGAGTCCAACCACTTCTTAAAGTCCTATGTTTTTATTTATTTTAGCTAGAAATGCTTTAGCATAAGGAATGAAGTGATAGAAAGTAATCCCAAATCCCTAGAACCAGCTTACCTGAAAGACAGCAGGGGTTTGGAGTGATCTAGTTCAGATCTGTCTACGTGGATTCCCAGGGTGGAGTCCAATCTGTAGTAATTCAGGATCCCTGCCTCGGCTCGGAAACCCTGAAACCCACAGGCTGTGGCTACTTGCTCTGAGAGGAAAGCCAGGTCAGAAGGGAAAGGTGTATAATGATCGGCTGAGTATTTCTTTGATAAAAGTAGGGAAAATAAGAAAAATAAACAATGATCTCAGGAAAATAGGAACTGTGGCATAAGATTAATTACCACTTTAAAATTATCTAACTTATTCGTAATCCTAACAGCATGATTTATCCATCTGTTTTTGAGGTATCCAGTAATCCAATAATGAGACGTTCAAAATAGCGAGCACCTAGGACATGGCAGGCACATGCCGCGCAGTGTTAAATCAGACAAGTTCACCCTGCATGGAGTCTACCCATGAAGCAATTACTACGTCTCTCTCTGGTGCACTTTAATCTCAAATAGGATCATTCTCATAGGACAAAAAAGCAACTCAAAACTGTCACTGCCAAGAGGCACAGGATGACTAAATGTAATGTGGTATCCTGGAACAGAAAAAGGACTTCAGTTAAAAACTAAAAAAAACTGAATGAAAGCTAAGAAAATATGAATAAAATATGGACTTCGCCATTGTAATAATGCATTAACATTGGTCCACTAATTGAGACAAAGGTACCATAATAATGTAAGATGTTGGTGGGCACCTGGGTGGCTCAGTTGGTTAAGCGACTGCCTTCGGCTCAGGTCATGATCCCGGAGTCCCGGGATCGAGTCCCACATCAGGCTCCCTGCTCGGCAGGGAGTCTGCTTCTCCCTCTAACCCCACCCCCTCTTGCGTTCTCTCTCTCACTCTCTCTCTCTCTCTCTCTCAAATAAATAAATAAATAAAATCTTTAAAAAAAATAATGTAAGATGTTGATAGGGAGAACTGGGTATGGGAACTCTGTACTACAATCTTTTCAACTTTCCTGCAAATCCAGAACTATCCTAAAATACAAAGCTTATTAAAAAAAAGAAAGCAAGCAATTCAAATACAACAGCCAGTTTGGTTTTGGGCCCCTCAGCCCGCAACATGGCACACTGCCAATTTCACTGGTCAGTCTGATGGGATGACATGCTCAGAACATCTGAACTGAAACTAACTTACACCATGGTCAAGGCAGGACCTTAAAATGGAGGTAATTTTCAGCACTTACCTTCCTGGACTATTTTTAGCATGTAAAGATCACAATATCCCTCTTCTCCTAAATAAAACAAAACCCATCAAAGGGCCGAACACTCACTCTCTCTACAAAAGCCTGCAGTTTAGGAAAACGACAAGGTGGCAGCCTCCTAGGCAGACCAGGGTGAGGGCGGCTCGCCGTGTAAGCCTGCAGCAGCCCGATGCCCCTCCGTGTTCCTGCTGCTCTCGCGTCCTCCCTTTGCCCAACAACCTCAAACCACACCAGCAAATCCACTGCCGCCTCACATCTGCGCTAGTGCCCTGACGTATCCCAGCTGTAGCAACAGGGCATAGCTCTGGCCAGAAGTGAGCTTTAACTTCAGGTTAAGGCAGACTTTTGTGAAAGGCCATTAAAGGATGGCCAAGCCTCTTCAGTTGGAATTTCTGTGTTTTATTTTTTCCTTCTTTTCCTTAAGTGCAAATCAGAAGAGTTCCCACTTAATTTCCCAAAACTAAGGATATGGCTAGAGAACTATAAGGTTTTCTCTACCCTTTCAAGTTTCAGTCCTTCACAAGATCAACTAGTCAGAGGTACTGTTCTAGCACTAGGTTACCTCTGTGAGCTTTCAACCCCATCCCCAACTATCTATGCACTAGTCTTCTTACTTCTCTTTCACTTTTCTCCATTGAGTCACTCAGAGTTTCTGGTAATTTTTCACTCACTCCACATTTTTCTTAGTAAATGAGAGTAACTTTAAGTCCTTGGGGAATACCAGTATCAGCAATAAATATAACATCATAAAAAATAAGCTAACATGTATCGTGTTAATGTATTTAACTTCTCAAAACAAGCCGGCACCACTGTAATCACGATGCGGGCATTACACCTTTGACGCTCACGCCCCCCTTTACGAGGTATGCACTATCCTATGGAAGGCCAGATTCAACCCCGGGCTGGCTCACCCAGAGAGAATCACCTGGCTATCTCCCCAAACACAGATATCCAGTCTTCCATTAAATCTGCATTACTGAAAGTAATAGGTCATGAACATTTTTGAGCAACATTTATCATTATTTTGAGCAGTTAATTTAATTATTAATAAGCTGGGTTGACTGAAACTATGGAGCTTTTAGTAAGTAACTAGTTAGTAGGAAGATGGTCTATACCAATCTATTTATTAAGTTTATTCTCAAAATTAGTCCTTCCACTTGGTGTCAAACATCTCATGGATACAAGAGGCACTAGGTTGCCCGTTATAAAGGAGGTCCTTTTGGAAGCATGGAGGTCAGGAAAGAAGAAACTGTACCTCAAGAAAACACTGAACTTTGTTAACTGTAGGACATTCTTTCCTATCTGTGTCTTGTGAGCAAGGGTGTCTTTTGTGAGCTGATGGAGAATACCACAAGTAGATGGAGCTCCTTTTACTCCAAACAGATATTATGTAGAAAATACAAGCTCAGGGCGCCTGGGTGGCTCAGTTAAGCGTTGCCTTTGGCTCAGGTCATGATCCCAGTGACCTGGGATTGAGCCCCGCAGCAGGCTCTGTGCTCAGCAGGGAGCCTGCTTCTCCCTCTCCCTCTGCCTGCCTGTCTACTTGTGATCTCTCTCTCTCTGTCAAATAAATAAATAAATAAAATCTTAAAAAAAAAAAAAAGAAAATACAAGCTCAACAGACACTAAACAATAATGGAAATAAAGGTTTTAATTGAGAATTGCTCTTGAATGCAGTAAAGAAAAATCTGTACCCCTGAAACATACTTAGAGAAAGCACCAATGACTTCTGATGAAACAATATAACCTAAGGGCATATGAAGAAATTTTCTCTTGGGAGAAATTATTCATTCCTCTTGAGACACTGTTATCGAGAGGATTTTAAGAGATAAAAGAAAGAGATCCTTCCACAAATGGATAATCTGACACTTTACAAGCTTGGCCAGGAAGACATCCAACTACTGAGCCCAAGGAGTGTAAAAGCGAAGACAATGGAATTTGCAAGGAAATTTGCATACCTTACTGTCCCAGTTATAATGGTAGCCTAGGGTCACCCAGCGCAACTTCTCTAGTAAACTTCGGGGTCTCCGTTTATTTGCTTCTTTGTACCTGTGAAGATTGGGGACAAGAGGATTTATTCACCTCAAATGGGAACAACAGCCCTTTGCATGCATGGAATTTGGTATTCCTTGGTATAAGTTGTTAGCAAAGATCTTGATAGAAGTGAGAACAAATGAGTTGACCAAAATACAGTAACACCAAAAAACATGTTAGCATTTCTTTTTTAAGATTTATTCATTTGACAGTGAGACAGTGTGTGCATGCGTGCGTGCTGGGGGGGGGGGGAGGGGCCGAGGGAAAGAATCCCAAGCAGACTCCCTGCTAAATGGGGAGCTGGACCCAGGGCTCGATCTCAGGACCCTGAGATCATGACCTAAGACGACATCAAGTCAGACACTCAACCGACTGAGCCACCCAGATGCCCCCATGTTAGCATTTCTAATTTTTAGTCCTTGGCTCTAAATCCTCTGCTGAACAGGATCAATTTTATATTATTATTTTTTAAAGATTTTATTTATTTATTTGTCAGAGAGACAGAGCACAAGCAGGGGGAGGGGCCGAGGGAGAAGGAGAAGCAGACTCCCCACTGAGCAAGGAGCCCAATGTGGGGCTGGATCCTGGGACTCCACGATCATGACCTGAGCCAAAGGCAGACGCTTAACCAACTAAGCCACCCAGGCACCCCATGTTAGCACTTCTAACTTTTAGCCCTTGGTTCTAAACCCTCTGCTGAATGGGATCAATTTTAAATGGCAAGTCTCCAGCATCTCAATAATGATAAAATAAGAACAACACAGAAATGTCTTTACCTGTCCATTGGAAATGGGACCAAGGGCATTATGGGTAATTGAAAATTTGGCTAATAGAACATGTTCCATTTGGTTTGCTGAAAGTGAGGTATGATTAATCATAGCTATCACTACGTTTACAATGATGGTGGCTTCCCAGAATTATAGGTTGGGGGAAAAAGTCTGGCAAAATATACATTGTTTACAATAAAAAATAACTGGTTTAACATGACTTCTTCAACCCTGTCTAACATAGCTTAGATAATTGAGGCTTAGCTAACAATTAAGGGCCACTGTAATTGATTTGGTTTCTGACATCCCCTTGTTCAAACACAGGAGGCTTCTGTAAAACAGAGAGGTGCCCTTTCTGCAATTACATCCTGTCTGATCAAATCTATGGGATTAACTACTCTTTTTCTAAGGAGGAAGAAGCTTTTTTGATTTACCTCTAAATATCTAAAAATACAAGAATGCTAGGCCTAATAATTTTAGGGTTTATTTTTCCTATGTAATTTACATCAGAAATTGAACAAATTTTTTTTTTTTAAGATTTTATTTATTTATTCATGAGAGACAGAGAGAGAGAGGCAGAGGGAGAAGCAGGCTCCCAAGGAGCAGGGAGCCCAATGTGGGACTCGATCCCAGGACTCTGGGATCATGACCTGAGCTGAAGGCAGACGCTTAACCATCTGAGCCACCCAGGTGCCCTGAACAAATTTTTTTGGTCCAAGAACCACTGCTGTTTAAAAAAGAAAAGATTAGACTGCTTTAAGGACTTCATATTTTGACAGGACATGACAGATAAGTAGAAGAAAAAATGAAGGGAAAATTAAAGGCAGTATAAAATCTGTACTAAATTGAATAGCACAAGACTTTGAGGACCACTGGAATTAAGAAAAAGGAGAGCTCAAAGTTAGCTGTCTAATCAGTTAAGGCCTCATGGCAGAGTTGGGAGTTGAATGTGGCATTGAAGAATGGCCAGCATTTAAACAGAGAGTGGAGCAGTGGTCAATACCGGCATACCACATGAGCAGAAGCAAAGGTTTTATTAGAGGCTCACACTGTAAGTGGCACTTGTCTTGACTGACAGAGTTTACAGAATAGATGCTATCTGTCCTCAGAAAGTTTACATTCTAAGGACATCATGACACACATATCCATCAAGACCAGTAGCTAAAAGGAATGGAACAAACACCGATTTACTTAGGAGAGCAGTGCAGAAAAGAGGCAGAGCAGATCTGACTGCTATCCTCTGAAAGGCCTGCTTGCAAGGTTGGCTGTTGGCAGGCATCTGGAACTTGGAATCTGGGGAGGTTCACACCATTCCCAGAACTGCTGTTCACTGTGCCTAAACTTTTTATGCAAAACATTATGGTTTATGTTGAACAGCTGCCTTCCTTCAGGGAGTCTGGAATTTGGTTTGTGTCACAGAGACTATGGGACCAGCCCCTAGTAAGAACCTGGGCACTAAGCTTCCCTGGAAGACAACATTTCAACATGTTGTCACAACTCATTATTGGGGGAATTAAGTACACCTTATGTGACTTCACTGGGAGAAAACCCTGGAAGCCTGAGCCTGGTTTTCCCAGGACTTTACTCAATGTGTCTTCTCCCTTCACTGATTTTGCTTTGTATTCTTTGAACTGGAATAAATCTTATCCATGAAGACAGCTATGTGCTGAGCTCTCCTGGTGAATCACCAAAATTGGGTATGGTCTTGGGGACACCTGGCACAAGAGAAGACAGATAATGATTAGCAGTTCAGGGGAAACAATATATATGCGTGGCGAGTGACCGCAACTAGCTAATGTGAACAGTTACCATGTAGAACTACCACTAATTATTTACATTTTCTATGTGTAAAAACTAAAAACTGGAAAAAAAAAAAAAAAAGGGAATGCGTAGTTACTAACACAACCTGAGTTCTACCAATGTTTCTTCAGCTAAAGATACAGATAAGAAAGAACTCCCTGATGATCCCCTCTGGAGAACATAAGCTATTTTAGTAGCCTTGGGATTGAAAATAAGAATGACCTCTCATTTCTGGATTCATGTGAATATTGTGGTTAATAGTGCATACCCCACTTAGTTTCTGCCAAGTGGTTTCCAAATTTTAATGGTCAGGAGAATCACCTAGAGGGCTTGTTAAAACTCAAATGGCTGGGCACAGACATATAAATTCTGATTCAGCAAGTCTAGGACAGAGCCTAAGAACCTGCATTTCTTTTTAAAAAAATTTTTTTATTGTTATGTTAATCCCCATACATTACATCATTAGTTTTAGATGTAGTGTTCCATGATTCATTGTTTGTGCATAACACCCAGTGCTCCATGCAGAACGTGCCCTCCTCAATACCCATCGCCAGGCTAACCCATCTTCCCACCCCCCTCCCCTCTAGAACCCTCAATTTGTTTTTCAGAGTCCATCGTCTCTCATGGTTCGTCTACCCCTCCGATTTCCCCCCCTTCATTCTTCCCCTCCTGCAACCTTCTTTTTTTTTTTTAAACATATATTGCATTATTTGTTTCAGAGGTACGGATCTGAGATTCAACAGTCTTGCACAATTCACAGCGCTTACCAGAGCACATACCCTCCCCAGTGTCTATCACCCAGATCATCCAAAGATGTCTTCTTTGGAAAAATGTCTGTTCATGTCTTCTGCCCTTTTCTTGATTGGATTCTTTGTTCTTTGGGTGTTGAGTTTGATAAGTTCTTTATAGATTTTGGATACTAACCCTTTATCTGATATGTCATTTGCAAATATCTTCTCCCATTCTGTCGGTTGTCTTTTGGTTTTGTTGACTGTTTCCTTTGCTGTGCAAAAGCTTTTTATCTTGATGAAGTCCCAATAGTTCATTTTTGCCCTTGCTTCCCTTGCCTTTGGCGATGTTTCTAGGAAGAAGTTGCTGCGGCTGAGGTGGAAGAGGTTGCTGCCTGTGTTCTCCTTTAGGATTTTGATGGACTCCTGTCTCACATTGAGGTCTTTCAACCATTTGGAGTCTATTTTTGTGTGTGGTGTAAGGAAATGGTCCAGTTTCATTCTTCTGCATGTGGCTATCCAATTTTCCTAACACCATTTGTTGAAGAGACTGTCTTGTTTCCATTGGACATTCTTTCCTGCTTTGTTGAAGATTAGTTGACCATAGAGTTGAGGGTCCATTTCTGGGCTCTCTATTCTGTTTCATTGATCTATGTGCCTGTTTTTGTGCCAGTACCATACTGTCTTGATGATGACAGCTTTGTAATAGAGCTTAAGTCCGGAATTGTGATGCCACCAGCTTTGCTTTTCTTTTTCAACATTCCTCTGGCTATGCGGGGTCTTTTCTGGTTCCATACAAATATTAGGATTATTTGTTCCATTTCTTTGAAAAAAGTGGATGGTATTTTGATGGGGATTGCACTGAATGTGTAGATTGCTCTAGGTAGCATTGACATATTCACAATATTTGTTCTTCCAATCCATGAGCATGGAACGTCTTTCCATTTCTTTGTGTCTTCCTCAATTTCTTTCATGAGTATTTTATAGTTTTCTGAGTACAGATCCTTTGCCTCTTTGGTTAGATTTATTCCTAGGTATCTTATGGTTTTGGGTGCAATTGTAAATGGGATCGACTCCTTAATTTCTCTTTCTTCTGTCTTGTTGTTGGTGTATAGGAATGCCACTGACTTCTGTGCATTGATTTTATATCCTGCCACTTTACTGAATTCCTGTATGAGTTCTAGCAGTTTTGGGGTGGAGTCTTTGGGGTTTTCCACATAAAGTATCATATCATCTGCAAAGAGTGAGAGTTTGACTTCTTTGCCGATTTGGATGCCTTTTATTTCTTTTTGTTGTCTGATTGCTGTGGCTAGGACTTCCAATACTATGTTGAATAGCAGTGGTGATAGTGGACATCCCTGCCGCGTTCCTAACCTTAGGGGGAAAGCTCTCAGTTTTTCCCCATTGAGAATGATATTCGCTGTAGGTTTTTCATAGATGGCTTTTATGATATTGAGGTATGTACCCTCTATGCCTATACTCTGAAGAGTTTTGATCAAGAAAGGATGCTGTACTTTGTCAAATGCTTTTTCTGCATCTATTGAGAGGATCATATGATTCTTGATCTTTCTTTTGTTAATGTATTGTATCACGTTGATTGATTTGGGGATGTTGAACCAACCTTGCAGCCCAGGGATAAATCCCACTTGGTCGTGGTGAATAATCCTTTTAATGTACTGTTGGATCCTATTAGCTAGTATTTTGGCGAGAATTTTCGCATCCATTTTCATCAGGGATATTGGTCTGTAATTCTCCTTTTTGACGGGGTCTTTGTCTGGTTTTGGGATCAAGGTAATGCTGGCCTCATAAAATGAGTTTGGAAGTTTTCCTTCCATTTCTATTTTTTGGAACAGTTTCAGAAGAATAGGTATTAATTCTTCTTGAAATGTTTGGTAGAATTCCCCTGGGAAGCCATCTGGCCCTGGGCTTTTGTTTTTTCGGAGATTTTTGATGACTGCTTCAATTTCCTTAGTGGTTATAGGTCTGTTCAGGTTTTCTATTTCATCCTGGTTCAGTTTTGGTAGTTGATACATCTCTAGAAATGCATCCATTTCTTCCAGGTTATCTAATTTGCTGGCATAGAGTTGCTCATAATATGTTCTTATAATTGTTTGTATTTCTTTGGTGTTGGTTGTGATCTCTCCTCTTTCATTCATGATTTTGTTGATTTGGGTCTTTTCTCTTTTCTTTTTTTTTTTTAAGATTTTTTTTTTTTTATTTGTTTGACAGAGAGAGATAGTGAGAGATAGTGAGAGCAGGAACACAAGCAGGGGGAGTGGGAGAGGGAGAAGCAGGCTTCCCGCTGAGCAAGGAGCCCGATGCGGGGCTCGATCCCAGGACCCTGGGATCATGACCTGAGCCGAAGGCAGACGCTTAACGACTGAGCCACCCAGGCGCCCCTCTTTTCTTTTTGATAAGTCTGGCCAGGGGTTTATCAATCTTGTTAATTCTTTCAAAGAACCAGCTCCTAGTTTCATTGATCTGTTCTACTTTGCTTTTGGTTTCTATTTCATTGATTTCTGCTCTGATCTTTATTATTTCTTTTCTCCTGCTGGGTTTAGGCTTTATTTGCTGTTCTTTCTCCAGCTCCTTTAGGTGTAGGGTTAGGTTGTGTACTTGAAACCTTTCTTGTTTCTTGAGAAAGGCTTGTATTGCTATATACTTTCCTCTTAGGACTGCCTTTGCTGCATCCCAAAGATTTTGAATAGCTGTGTTTTGATTTTCATTGGTTTCCATGAATTTTTAAAATTCTTCTTTAATTTCCTGGTTGACCCATTCATTCTTCAGTAGGATGCTCTTTAGCCTCCATGTATTTGAGTTCTTTCCGACTTTCCTCTTGTGATTGAGTTCTAGTTTCAAAGCATTGTGGTCTGAAAATAGGCAGGGAGTGATCCCAATCTTTTGGTACTGGTTGAGACCTGATTTATGACCTAGGATGTGATCTATTCTGGAGAATGTTCCATGGGCACTAGAGAAGAATGTGTATTCCGTTGCTTTGGGATGGCATGTTCTGAATATGTCTGTGAAGTCCATTTGGTCCAGTGTGTCCTTTAAAGTCTTTATTTCCTTGTTGATCTTTTGCTTAGATGATCTGTCCATTTCAGTGAAGGGTGTGTTAAAGTCCCCCACTATTATTGTATTGTTGTCGATGTGTTTCTTTGCTTTTGTTATTAATTGCCTTATATAATTGGCTGCTCCCATGTTAGGGGCATAGATATTTACAATTGTTAGATCTTCTTGTTGGATAGACCCTTTAAGTAGGATATAGTGTCCTTCCTCATCTCTTAATACAGTCTTTGGTTTAAAATCTAATTTGTCTGATATAAGGATTGCCACCCCAGCTTTCTTTTGGTGTCCATTAGCATGGTAAATGGTTTTCCACCCCCTCACTTTAAATCTGGGGGTGTCTTTGGTTCTAAAATGAGTCTCTTGCAGACAGCATATCGATGGGTCTTGTTTTTTAATCCAATCTGATAGCCTGTGTCTTTTGATTGGGGCATTTAGCCCATCTACATTCAGGGTAACTATTGAAAGATAGGAATTTAGTGCTATTGTATTGTCTGTAAGGTGACTGTTACTGTATATTGTCTGTGTTCCTTTCTGGTCTATGTTGCTTTTAGGCTCTCTCTTTGCTTAGAGGACCCCTTTCAAGAGTTCTTGTAGGGCTGGTTTCGTTTGCAAATTCCTTTAGTTTTTGTTTGTCCTGGAAGCTTTTTATCTCTCCTTCAATTTTCAATGACAGCCTAGCTGGATATAGTATTCTTGGCTGCATATTTTTCTCATTTAGTGCTCTGAATATATCCTGCCAGTCCTTTCTGGCCTGCCAGGTCTCTGTGGATAGGTCTGTTGCCAATCTAATGTTTCTATCCTTGTAGGTTACATATCTCTTCTCCCGAGCTGCCTTCAGGATTTTCTCTTTGTCTCTGAGACTCGTAAGTTTTACTATTAGATGTCGGGGTGTTGACCTATTTTTATTGATTTTGAGAGGGGTTCTCTGTGCTTCCTGGATTTTGATGCCTGTTTCCTTCCCCTAATTAGGGAAGTTCTCTGCTATAATTTGCTCCATTATACCTTCTGCCCCTCTCTCTCTTTCTTCTTCTTCTGGGATCCCAATTATTCTTATGTTGTTTCGTCTTATGGTATCGCTTATCTCTCGAATTCTGCCCTCGTGATCCATTAGTTGTTTCTCTCTCTTTTTCTCAGCTTCTTTATTTTTCATCATTTGGTCTTCTATATCACTGATTCTCTCTTCTGCCTCATTTATCCTAGCAGTTAGTGCCCCCATATTTGATTGCACCTCATTAATAGCCTTTTTGATTTCTACTTGGTTAGATTTTAGTTCTTTTACTTCTCCAAAAAGGGTTTCTCTAATAACTTCTATGCTTTTTCAAGCCCAGCTAGTATCTTTAAAGTGATGATTCTGAACTCCAGATCTGACATCGTACTAATGTCCGTATTGAGTAGGTCCCTGGCAGTTGGTACTACCTCTTGTTCTTTTTGTTGAGGTGATTTTTTTCATCTTGTCATTTTGTGCAGAGGAGAATAGATTAATGAGAGAACAAAATGCTAGCAGGGTAACAAGGTCCCCAGAAAATATACTCTAAACAAATCAGAAAAGACCTGAAGCAGTGGAAAAAGAAAGGGAAAGAGAGAAAAAAGAAAAAGGAAAAAAAAAAGAAAAAGATAAAGATAAAGATAAAAACAAACAAAAACAGAACAAAACAAAACAAAACAAAAAAAACAGAATGTGATCAGATATGATCAGGCTGGTATATAGATCAGTGCCACACACTAGATTTTGGGTGTATTTTGGTCTGTTAGAAGAAAGTGCCTCCCAAAATTTTAAAGAAAGAAAAACTTATATATGTACAAAAATAAGGGTTGATATGATGAAGGGATGGAATATGACTGTAAACATGGAAATTATAAAAAATTTTATAAAAGGAATTGATAAGAAGTTGTTTGAAAAAAGAAAGAAGAGGATTTAAAAAAAAAAAAGAAAAAAAGGGAGAGAATGTGATCAGGCAGGGGAGTAGAAAAAAACCATACCCTAGAGATTTAGGATTATTTTGATCTGTTAGAAGAAACTATCTCAAAATTTTAAAGAGAGAACAACTTATATATGCCAAAAATACAGGTAACTACTATGAAGGGATAGAATATGACTCTAAAAATGAAAAATAAAAATGTTTTTTAAAAAAGGGATTGATAAGATGTTGGTTGAAAAAGGGAAAAAGAAAAATTCAAAAAAAGAAAAAAGACAGTGAAAAAAAAATTAACTTTGAAAGACTAAAGAATCATGGTAAAAAAAGCCATGAATTCTATGTGCAGTATTCCCCTAGCACTGGAGTTCTGCCATTCTCATTGATCGGTAAACTTGGTCTTGGCTGGCTGTTCTCGCTGATCTTCTGGGGGAGGGGCCTGTTGCCGTGGTTCCCAAATGTCTTTGCCGGAGGCGGAATTGCCCCGCCCTTGCCCGGTCCGGGCTAAGTAATCTGCTCAGGTTTGCTCTCAGCAGCTTTTGTTCCCTGCAAGCTTTCCGTACAGCTTTGGAGGACGAGAGTGAAAATGGCAGCCTCCCAATCTCCGCCCTGGAGGAGCCGAGAACTCGGGGCCCCGCTCCTCAGTGTGCCCCCAGAGAAAAGCTGTCAGTCACTCCTGTCTCCTCGGTCTCCGGCCGCACTCCGTGTTCACCCGGCCTATGACCACGCGTTTCTATCTTGGCACCCGACCCCGGGTGGAGTCTCCAAACCCAGCAGATCCCTGCGGTGCGCTCCTGTGCCACTTCTCCCGGGGGAGGAAGGTGAGTCTCCCCGGACCTGCCGCTGTTGGGTCCCTGCTGGAGGAGCAGTGGCCTGACTGTGCCGCGGATCAGGTTTATGGCAACCCCGAGCTGAGAGCCCGCACCTTGGCTCCGTCTCTGCAGCCATCTCTGCAGCAGGCTTCCCTGCTCCGATACCTGGGAGCTCTGCCGCACTCAGGCACCCTCGGTCTTTCTGTGACCCTGAGGGTCCTGAGACCACACTGTCCCATGAGGGTTCCACCCCCCACTTAGCCACCGGAGTGATGTCCCTCAGTGGAGCAGACTTCTAAAAGTTCCGATTTTGTGCTCCGCGGCTCTATCACTTGCCAGAAGCAGCGATGGAGGCCCCTCCCCCGCCGTTTATCCTCCCGAATATCGCCTCGGATTCACTTCTCCACATGTCCTACCTTCCAGAAAGTGGTCGCTTTTCTGTTCAGGGTTGTTGCTATTCTTTTCTTCTATCTCCTGTTGAGTTTGTAGGTGTTCAGAATGGTTTGATCCCTATCCAGCTGAATTCCTGAGAGGAAACGAAATCCAGGTCTCCTACTCCTCCGCCATCTTGCTCCCTCAATCCAGAACCTGCATTTCTTTTCTTTTTTTTTTTTTTTAAAGATTTTATTTATTTATTTGAGACAGAGAGAATGAGAGACAGAGAGCATGAGAGGGCGGAGGGTCAGAGGGAGAAGCAGACTCCCTGCCGAGCAGGGAGCCCAATGCGGGACTCGATCCCAGGACTCCAGGATCATGACCCGAGCCAAAGGCGGTCGCTTAACCAACTGAGCCACCCAGGCGCCCCCAGAACCTGCATTTTTTTTTTTTTAAGATTTTATTTATTTATTTGAGAGAGAGAGTGAGAGAGAGAGAGAGCACAAGAGGGGGGAGCGGGAGAGGGAGAAGCAGGCTCCCTGCCAAGCAGGGAGCCCGCTGCGGGACTCGATCCAGGGACTCCAGGATCATGACCTGAGCCGAAGGCAGTCGCTTAAGCAACTGAGCCACCCAGGCGCCCCAGAACCTGCATTTCTAATAAGCTCCCAAGAGATGGGGATGCTGAACGAGGGACCATACTTTGAAAAACACTATTCTAACCAAAATTAAAAAACAAAACAAAATACCTTCCATCTTTTTAGATCAATAAAGGATTATTTTATTCTTGATGGAGAACTCATACTATTAAATCAAAGTGAGATCGATCTAAACAAATAAAGGTAACAATGAAGCTCTAAAAAGAATTCAGGGGGCACCTGGGTGGCTCAGTCAGTTAAGGAGTTGCTCTTGATTTTGGTTCAGGTCATGATCTCAGCATTGTGAGATCAAGCCCCATGCCAGACTCCACACTAAGGATGGAGCCTGCTTGAGATTCTCTCTCTCCCTCTCCCTCTGCCTCTCCCCTCCACCACCCTCTCTAAAAAAATAAATAAATAAATAAAAATAATTCAGAAAGCAATGCTATTTTAGACATTCAATATAGTATCACCAAGCTGCTTTTCCATCAAGAGTCAGTCTAATGTTCCTTAAGAATGGGGCATACACTGGGTGCCTGGGTGGCTCAGTTGTTAAGAATGGGGCATACACTATTAGAATTAACAGGTTTGTGGTATTGTTAACAATAAAATCATCAAAATCATAGTAATAATCAAGCATGAATAGAATCATCCTATGTTACACCTTTTAAAATTTGTTCCTTTTTTAGAAAACCAAAAGAACATCTCTTTTCTACCTTAATTGTATCACAATAAGGAAGGCTTTGGGCTTTGCCTTGTATTATTGAAGGGGACTGGTGTAAGGGTATAAAACCATTAAGCCCAGGCCACCTAATAAAAAGGAAAAAAAAAGCTTAAAGACTTGTGTAGTGAAAGAATAGTTGTGATCATTGAGTGCACCATTTTGAGGATGATGCTATACACACACACGTTTTGTTTACACAAAAAACATGTTAGACCCATGTAGGTTTAAGATTCCACCCCTCTGTGAACATAATTTCAATTCTTTTCTTTGTATGGAATTTCTGGTAGGAAAGTAACAATAATTATTAAGACTGGCCTTCAAGATGTGAGAGCAGGACTGGCCAACACTAGCGACTTCCTGTCTCAGCACTACTTAGGGACCATTTTGGTCCCTGTGGGCTTTGGGTAACAAAGATTTCAAAAAATTCCGTCTTGAACACTGAATAGTTTAAGGCCAAAACCAAGTTTAACGCACTCCCAGATGATTTTCAAGCAGGAAATACTGACAGATTAATAAGGGGGATGGGCTGTTTTCTTTTTAAACCTGACTTGTACAGAAGGAGGCCAGGAAGGTTCAGTGCCAGAGCTGCCATATCCACTCCAAGAACGCAAGGGATATGCTGGCACCTAACTTTAAATCTTTATCCAATTATCCAAAAGAATGTTTCCAAGCAAGTATGACCCAGATTATTGGTTCTCGCTGCAAACAGAAAACACGCTATGCTCCCTGCCCCTGTTGTGGCTCCAGGCACTGGCAGGAGGACGGGTGAGCTGGCCACCTTCTCCCCTGGTGAATGTGCCCACACAGCAACTTGCTCACTTTCTGTCACGGATAAGTGCCTTATGTAAGTGCTAGTATTTCTCTCAGCAATCACGTCCTCTAGTGCTGCTTTCAACTGCACCCTAACTGGGTGGAAATGAACTGTCCTGCCTGTCCACTCTTTGTGCAGTGGTAGTTTGAGTGTCATAACTAAGCACTGGAATTTCCTTTTCTTCCTTGCTTCAAGGGACTTTAGTGAATCATTATGAAAGCAAAAGTACTCAGGGCAGAAAACGTCTAAGGTTGTTTATGATAAAAAGCCTTAAAAATCCTATTACAGATACTTGTTTTTTCAATCATTTTTTTAAAAGTTTTATTTATTTAAGTAATCTCTACACCCAATGTGGGGCTCAAACTCATGATCCCAAAATCAAGAGTTGCCTACTGACTGAGCCAGCTGCACACCCCGCTTTACTATGGTCTTCATGTGTAACTGACACATCTCCCTCTCTCTGACTTCACTCCTAAGCTCAGTTTCCTACTTCCAAAGGCATACTGGACATCTTTGCCAGGATACTCCACACGCATTTCAAAAACATTAATCCCCAAGCTACACTAAGGATTGTCTCTGCTCCTTCTCGTCCTCCAATCCTATTTCCATTAAAAATCTTAGTATAGGGCGCCTGGGTGGCTCAGTTGGTTAAGCGACTGCCTTCGGCTCAGGTCATGATCCTGGAGTCCCAAGATCGAGTCCCGCATCGGGCTCCCTGCTCGGCAGGGAGTCTGCTTCTCCCTCTCACCCTCCTCCCTCTCATGCTCTCTGTCTCTCATTCTCTCTCTCTAATAAATAAATAAAATCTTAAAAAAAAAAAATCTTAGTATATAATGTTACAATGAACATGGAGAGGCAGATATTTTTTTGAGACACTGATTTTTTTTTTCCCCCTTTGGATATATACCCAGAAGTGAAATTGCTGTATCCTCCAGTAATCCTATTTTTTTTTTTAAATAACAGTGGATTTTTTTTTTTTTAAGATTTTATTTATTTGACAGAGAGAGAGAGGGCGCACAAGCAGGGGGAGCGGCAGGCAGAGAGAGAGACAAGCAGACTCCTGCTGAGCAGGGAGCCTGACGTGGGGCTTGATCTCAGGACCCTGAAATTACGATCTGAGCTGAAGGCAGACGCTTAACCGACTGAGCCACCCAGGTGCCCTGGTAATCCTATTTTTAACTTTTGGAGGAACCTCCACTGTTTTACATAAATAATTGCAACAGCCAAGACAAAGAAACAACCTGAGTGTCCACTGATGGATGAATGGATAAAGAAAACATGATACACAACATATAAATGAATACTATTCAGCCATAAAAAAGGAAATCCTGTCATTTGTGATAACATGAACCTTAAGGGCATTGTGCTAAGTGAAATGTTAGGGAAAGATAAACACTGTATGATCTTACTTGTATGTGGTATCTAAAAAATCTAAACTTGCAGAAACAGAAAAGATTGAAAGCTGCCAAAGGTGAGGGTAGGTGGGTGTAGATAAATAAGTTCTGAGAATCTAATGTAAAACATGGTGACTATAGTTAACAAAACTGTATTGTGTATTTGCTAAAAGAGTAAATCTTATTCTCATCACGAAAAAAAAATTTATAACTATGTGAGGTGACTTAACTTACCAAGATAATCGTTTTGCAATATATAGATACCAAATCGTTATACACCTCGAACTAATATAATATTAGTATCTAGGAATAGGAGTATCTTTGTTATTCACAGTGGGCCCTATGACCACAGCTAAGTATATGCTAAGGAGATGACTCAGGATGTGAGCCTGTCAGACTACAAAGACTAATCATGTGATTAGAGGGATTGAGGCTTTCAGTCAAGTGATACTAGCTAAACCTCAGGGGCTGGGTAAAAATCATGTGACTAATAATTTAATCAATCATGCTTAAGTAGTGAAGCCCTCTAAAAAAAAACCTGAATACTAGGTTTGGGAGAGCTTCCTGGGAAGGTGACACATCCTGATTCCATGGAAGCTCTGCGTTCAGGACCCTCCCAGACATCACCCTACATGTTTCCTCATTGGGATGGTCCTGATTTGCATCCTTTATAATACAACTGTAATTGTAAGTATGATTACATACTTGAATTTCTTAAATTCTGTGAGTTGTTCTAGTGACTTATGAACCTGAGGGGGTCATGGGAACTCCCCTGAATTTGTAACCAGTTGGTCAGAAGTGTGGGTAGCTTGGGATCTCCCAAACTTGCGGCTGGTGTCCTAAGTCAGGCTGGCCTGGTTGGAGACCATGGAGACCATGCCCTCAACTTGTGATGTCCTTGTCGACTCTGAATGCTGAATGACTGCATCAGAACTGAACTGCAGTACTGCAGATGAGAAACTGTAAGAGAAGTGCCAGGATTTCTACACTCAATCAGAAAACAGACTGAAGAGGGGTGCCTGGATGGCTTGGTCAGTTAAACATCTGACTTTGGCTCATGGGGGCCCTGGGATAGAGCCCTGCATCAGGCTCCCCGCCAAGAGGGGAGTCTACTTGTCCCTCTGTCTGCCGCCCCCCACCGCCCAGCTCATGCACGTGCACGCACTCTCTCAAATAAATAAAATCTTAAAAAAAAGAAAACAGACTGAAGAGGCATGAGAACAGATACAAGGAGACACGCTAGGAGGCTAATGCGGTAAATGATGGTGGCTCAGACTAAGGCGGCCGTGATGGAGATGCTGAAAATTGATTTTATTTATTATGATGGTAGCCCTCCTGTATTTGCTAAAGAGTTGGATTTAAGATTTTTGAATGGCTGTATTGTGGCTGCATTCTACTGCTGGGGTATGTCCTACTTGATTTAGCTGATCTCTTGCTGACAGACACTTAGCTTGTTTCTCATTTTTTCCCATTATGAACAATGCTGCAATGAAGCTGCTTACACCTAACTACTGTCATCTTGTGCAAGAATCTCTAGCTACACTATTCACTCACAATAAACTCTGAACAAAACAGAACTGAGGTGTCCTACTTTTGTGAACAGACTTATTTTTCCCTCTAAGTTCAAGTATTTCTTCATTTCCTACTTCAAAGTTTCTTCTTCCTTGACCATAGAAACCTAGAAAGTAAAATGCAAAGGATCTTTAGAGGGCCTCTGGCCCAGCAGTTCTCAATGTGGGTATTATGGTCAATAATCAGAATCTCTAGGGAATCTTCTTCAATGACAGACCCTCTCCCTCTCTGACCTGCTCTGGGAAAGTGGTGAGAGCTGACGTACTCTCCAGGTGACTCCAACCATAATCTAATCACCTGAAATGGCTTATCCAGTCCAATCCCTTTGTTTCCCAGATGAGGAAACCAAAACACATATCACACAGTGACAGGAGAACTAGTGTCCTAATCGATTTTCGATGCCACCACTTTCTTCCAACCCTTGACAACAGAAGGTAGGACCACCACATTTTTTATTTTTACTAATTCGCAAGACAAAAAAACCAAAAAAACAAAAAAAGCCCCTAATCATTGTTCACAGGATGATTTATTAAAGAGGTTCATCTGAATTATCTTAGAAGATGACAACTGGGACTTCTGCAGTCATTTGTCAGAAGGAAAAAAATCAATTACTTGAAAACACAGGGTGGTTTAACCTCAAACTCTAAGCTCTCTAATTTCACTCAACCATGACCTTCCTTTACTTTACTCTCAGTTCTAAAGAAGACATCACTAAGAGCTTATAGAGGGCATTTCCCACTGCTCCTGTCTTTCTCATAACCTGCAGACCAAAAAGGCTTTTTTTTTTTTTTTAAAGATTTTATTTATTTATTTGACAGAGAGAGATAGTGAGAGCAGGAACACAAGCAGGGGGAGTGGGAGAGGGAGAAGCAGGCCTCCCGCCGAGCAGGGAGCCCGATGTGGGACTTGATCCCAGGACCCTGGGATCATGACCTGAGCCGTAGGCAGACGCTTAACGACTGAGCCACCCAGGCGCCCCCAAAAAGGCTTTAAAGGAAAACCAATGAATTTTAGTTTTCCTTTCCCCTTTCAACTAAAGGAAATCTTCTATTTCCCCTGTTGGAATTAGTATGACACAGTTTCTGAAAACAACCATTAGAGATCCTAAGTCCAAATAGAACACACAAAGCCAGCACAGTGGTTTTAATGGACTGTTGTGAAGATTTCTTTTTTTTTTTTTAAAGATTTATTTATTTATTTATTCATGAGAGACAGAGAGAGAGAGAGAGAGAGAGGCAGAGGGAGAAGCAGGCTCCCAAGGAGCAGGGAGCCCGATGCGGGACTCGATCCCAGGACCCTGAGATCATGACCTGAGCTGAAGGCAGACGCTTAACCATCTGAGCCACCCAGGCGCCCTGTTGTGAAGATTTCTTGCATTATTACCTTGTTTAATCCTCACACTGCTAAATAGGGAAGGACTACTATGAGGCATAGAAAGGTTAAGAAACTTGCTCAAATTTACATACCTAGTAAGTGGCAGACCAGGGATGTGAACCCAGGAGATCGGACTCTAGACCTAGTGCTTTCCGTCACTAAAGCCTTTATAGTTTGGCCCTAGCCTACTTCTTCTGCTTCATCTCTTGCCAATTCTATCCATCACTTCCAGGAAGCATCTTCTATAAACTACCTCCAATCTGGCCACCTGAGTGACTATTCCCATAATATCTTATAAACTCTATCTCTGTACCTGCCAAACTATTTAATTATATGTCTCTGCCCTCAACTAACCTACAAATTCCTTGAAAGCAGGAACTGTGTCTTATCTGTCGTTGAATCTCTAACACTCAAGCACAGTATCTGACGCATGGTAGAAACTCAATAGGTATTTGTTGAATAAACACATGAACTCCCACATTCTACACTATTTCACAGAACAACGTACTCTGCCTTGAATATTACCTCTTTGCTCCGTCTGCTTTCTCTACCCCAAACAGCCTTCTTGCTCTTCTGATAGGTAAACTCCTAATCATTTTTGAAGACCCAGTTCAAATGGACAGAGGAGAAAGAGGATAATAGACCCAATTAAAAAATATTTTCTTCTTCTTTGACACTTCTGCCTAGAGGAATTATTTCTCCCTCTGGCCCCCATAGCATTTTTCTAAACACTTACTCTAACACTTTCTAAGCTCTGTTAGAATTATTCCTGTTGACACTGAGTTCCTGCCATAGACTATGCACTCCTGAGTACAAAGACAGTGTCCTATGAATGGTTTATCTCCAGTGCTTAGCATCATGCCTGGTACACAAGTAACCCTCAATAAATATTTGTGGAATGATGGGGCACCTGACTTTAAAAAAATTATATATTTGTGAATGAATAAAGGTTGATTCAACATTAAGGTGCAAACATTAGTTCTCATGAGGAATAACTAAAAAACTGCTAGTAGCACTGACTTCATCTAGGAGAGTAGAAATAAAGAGCTTTTAGTGTTAAATGTTTCCAGGATATCACAAGTCTTCAAAGGAACTCACATTATTTTTTTTAAAGCCTTTATTTTTTTAAGTGATCTCTAAACCCAAGTGGGGCTCGAACTCACAACTCCAAAATCAAGAGTTGCATGCTCTACCATCTGAGCCAGCCAGGTGCTCCTGGAACTCACTTTAAGTAGAAAAAGGGCTGAAGCTGAATGAAAATGGACCAGCTGATGATTAATGAGGATGGACTCGAGATTTAAGCTATGATAAGGAAATCTTCAAAATGGATCTCAATTGAATGTAACTGTCAAGCATCTGTCCAGATGTTCCCAGGGGAAAGAATATAATTGTGCTGTTTTTGCATGGAAACAAGGAAAAAACAGGTCAGTTACTTTCACTGCATTGCTCTGGAGTAGGTCCCCTAAAGATATGCAGTGAGCCGAGTTGAATACGAACACTTACCTCAGAAACTCTTTGCTCTGTTCCCAGAGGTCCTGAGTCTCTTCTTGGGTCATGTGCTTGTCTAGGTTACACACATTTGGTTTCTGGGGATATAACTTAAGGCATTGCTTCACCCAGTGCCACTGGTAACCTGGGAGGAAGGGGTTTGGGATAACAATAAATCCTATACAAAAGGACAGGTGGGGAAAAAAGGAGAGGAGGAAATTCTCCATCAGTTATTGAGATAATTTATTTTTGTTGACATCCTTATACCCACTACTTTTAAATGACATTTTTTTTAAAGATTTTTTATTTATTTATTCATGAGAGACAGAGAGAGAGAGAGAGAGGCAGAGGGAGAAGCAGGCTCCCAAGGAGCAGAGAGCCCGACGTGGGACTCGATCCCAGGACCCTGGGATCACGACCTGAGCTGAAGGCAGACGCTTAACCATCTGAGCCACCCAGGCGCCCCCTTATACCCACTACTTTATTCCCTATCCCCTTTTGCTCATGTTTTGTGGCTTCCACATTTATAAGTAAATGTTCTCATCCCTATTCTCCAATTTTAGAGGAAGGGAAGAAAGAAACAAATTCTCAAGAGAAACAAATATTCCACAACCATCAACTGTTACCCCAAAGCGAACTTTAGAATTGGTAATGTCAAAAGTCACTGCTCAAATCTGCACCAGGTATTTATCGTTTATAAAGGTGGTAGCTGCTTCCTGCAATTACTACCTGTGATAGCTCAGCATCCCCCCTTGGCCTTCTTTGTTTTCCAGTATCTGGCTAACAATTCTTATATTAAGTTCCCTCAGCTAAAATAACTGGTGTGACTTCTGCCTATGATTGAAATCTGACTGACAGAACAGGGAAGAAAGAGGCTGTGAAGTACATCCGCTCAGTATGGCATGACGGAGATACCTACAGCATGTGTGCTGAAAAGATCTTCTGGGACCTGGGAAGTAATCTAATGTCATTCTTCTCCTGTGGCGAAGACGAATAACAATATTTAGCTGGAATTCTATGCAGGGTAAGGATCCATTTAACAAACACACACTATGTACTTTCTTAAGAATTAGAGATGGGGGCGCCTGGGTGGCTCAGTCGGTTAAGCGGCTGCCTTCGGCTCAGGTCATGATCCCAGGGTCCTGGGATTGAGCCCCATGTCGGGCTCCCTGCTCAGTGGAGAGTCTGCTTCTCCCTCTCTCTCTGCCTACTTGTGCTCTCTCTCTATCTCTCTGTCAAATAAATAAATAAAATCTTAAAAAAAAAAAAAAGAATTAGAGATGAAAAACTGTCCTTAGTGAAGCCCCTGGAGACGGGACAGCAGAGACTGTTACGCAGACAATGCCTTGTGGAAGCCTGGCTATGAAAGGAAACAAAGGTTGAAGAGCAGTCATGGAAGAATAAAGAATTTAAGGGGAGAGTTTATGATTTTTAGGATTGGGAAAGGCCGAAGCATGCTTACAGATAATGCGAAAGAACCAGCAGAGAGGAACTGGTTGAAACAGAAGAGAGGAACTCGTTGAAACAAAAGAGAGGAAAGGAGCAGAGCAAGGTCTTGAAAGCTGGAAAGGGTGAAAGAATGTGGGATCGAAAAGGTGAAGAGCCTGGCTTTTAACAGAAGGTATTCCTCTAAAATTGGAGGACAGGAGTAAGAACATCTTTTTCTGAGTGTGGAGGCCACTTCTGCATTTCATGCACCAGCAAAATTCTCCAAGTAATTTAAAAGTGTGACAGAACTGTCAATATTTTGAGAGGAAAAAAAAAAAGATATGAAAAAACCCCCCAACTTACCCACTTATCAGCATTATTTCACAAAATAAAGATTATAACATTCCCTAAAATATCAGATTAAAGGAAGAATACCGCTGACCCAGTGACAGGAAAATGAATACCTTTTTAGGCAGTCCACTCTAGACAACTGTTGCCTTTCTTTTATTGAATTTGCCTCCTTTTAATTTTCATGCATTGATCTTAGGTTTGAACACACAGCAACCCCCAAATTAGTTTCTCATTCTTCAAAAATACCTCTAGCTTTCTAGCTAACATTTATCAATCATTTACTATGTGCCAGGCATGGGCTTAAGTACTTTACAATGTACTCACATTTAATCTTCACAATAACCTTACAAAGTGAGCACCTTTTTATACACATTTTACTTATCAGGAAACTGAGACCAAGAAAGATTAAGAAACTTGCCCAAGGTCATATAGTGGATGGTACAGCCACGACTTGAACCCAGGTAGCCTCATGTCAGAACCTAGGCCTTAACCACTAGTATATAATGCTCCCATCCCTTTGTGTGTATGACAACCTTTCAAATGTTGGATGCTGTCAGGTTCCCTCTCAGCTTTACTCTTCTTTCAAACCCATGACTTCCTGCTCATTCTTTTAAGGACAGGTCGTGGTTACTCAAGTTCCTTCACAACAAGCAGAATCCAGAAGTAAACACAATCCTTCTGATCAAGTCTGAATAAGAGACGGTCATTTCCCATGTTCTGGACATTACACTTCTATTGAATACAGCTTCAAATGTCAGGGAAGACAGAATGAAGTCTCTAAGGACATAATGAGGTACCAACTCACAAAATGTGGCCTAAGTGTGAAATCCTAGAAAACCTCAAAATCAATACACCTATTTGGACAATAGATAAACCAAAGTGGGATTGATAACTCTGTGGTCTTAACAATTTGTTAAGAAAAGAGGGCATGGAAACAGAGAAATAAGGCCTTGAAAACAGGAGGTAGGCCTGAAAGGTCAAGGGCAGCCTTCAAGAACAAAAAGTACATAAAAGACTACTGGTGATGCACGCTCCTCATTCACCCAAACTCACGGGAAGCCACGCTTTCATACATAAAAGCCATCATTTGACTACTCTTTCACGAAGAACTGAAGTGCACGAGGCCTTTTAGGGAAGTATTGAAACTGTTATACCATCCTACGTTATTAACAAATATATCAGTGGTCATAATGTATTAAGAGCTGTAACACAGACCTGGCCCATGGCATAATGAAAATTAGTATTTTTTAGGGATTTTTTTCTTGCTTTTAATCTGTATTTGAAATCACAAAATACAATGTTAACTTTATGTCCTCTCCAAGAAAAAGGATGACAGATAAAAGATTATTTGACCAAATAAGGCATTTCTGTATTTTCTTTTTTATTTAATTAATTTAATTATTTGAGAGAATGAGAGCATGAGAGGGGGGAGGGTCAGAGGGAGAAGCAGGCTCCCCACTGAGCAGGGAGCCTAATACGGGTCTCGATCCCAGGACCTGAGCTGAAGGCAGCTGCTTAACCGACCGAGCCACCCAGGCACCCCTCTATTTTCTAAATAGTTCATAATATTTAATCTACAATGGCCCCATGATCCTAAAAGGAAAAAAGATTAAGGGTGCTTGGCTGGCTCAGTCAGTAGTATGCGACGCTCATCTTGGGGTGTGAGTTTGAGCCCCAAATTGGGGGTAGTGTTTACTCAAAAAAAGATTAAAAACATTACCCGTTTTTCATTATGTTCTTAATTTCTAGATCTGTAAGGTGAGCTACCCAATATTATTTAAGTTCAAAATGCTAAATTATTTAGTCTATTAGGGCTTCTGATCTCATTAACTAATGTTCTTTTCAAAAGCTCAGCCTTAATAATAGCAACAATTTTTAATTTGGTTTTTTTTTTGCCACACGAGAACATAGAGACGTTGTGATTAGAGCGACCATTATGAATTGTTCCATCATTCAAAGCGGTTCTTCTGCCAGAGCAGGTGTCTGGAGTCGTGGCAGGGAGCCCAGAGTCAAGGTGCTCATTTTTGATTTGTACCTGGTGTGTCATTTTCTGCACTTAAGGTAGGCACAACTGACTCCTGTTCTAACCTTTGGGAATGCTAAATAAATGGAAATTTTAGATGAGGCAGATTTAAAAGGAGTTTGGGAGTGAAATATTTCTGTGTTTAGTTTTCCCCTTTGTCTATTTACCTGCTTACAACTCCTCTCCTGAAATTAGACAAATGATTATATGATTTTGTATTCTGAGGTCGGCCGCACTCACCAGGATAGCCTTGGAGTCCATAGGCTTGCCACTTGCTGACTGGCTGAAGTCCTGCTCTATGTGCATCGTGGTCACTGACGGAAGATACACTCAGCTGAGATCTAACCACCTGGCAGGAAGGAAAGAGAAGTTGGAGTGCTAAAACTATTTTGCAGGTCAGATCTGAGAATCTCAAACTTCTAAAGATATTTCTGGTATGAGGCAAAATTAGGAGTCCTAAGTCTGGGCTCCTAAACTTAGTTCTACCATTTACTTGATGTAAGACTTAGATAAGTCACTTAACTTCTTAGAGCCTCAGTTTTTTCATCTATATACTAACAAACACTAGAAAGCAATATAAAATTAAGCAGTATGAGAAGCAGGCTGATTTTGGCCTTCAAGACTACCTTTTTGTATGACCTCACACCTTTGTGGATTTCTTTTAAGATCTAAATCGTGAGAGATGTACTGAAATATCCTCAAAGTTCTGTTCACCTCAATTCGGCCCAACAATAATGCTTCTGAGGCACTTGTATACAGTTGGTGTTTAAACAGACCTATGAGGAACATCAGGCAGGGGAGGTTAAGAGAATGGAAGAGAATGCTCCAACCAGACAGAACAACTGTTTCAGTAAAACTGGAAACCCTGTTTGCTGAAAGTATAATATTTATTCTCTTTTAGATGAAACTTCAAACAAGCTCAGAGCTTTTGCCTTTGTTAATTACTGAGAAATTAAGTCTTTCAGGGGCTCATGAAGTTTTCTTTGCATATAAGAGCATCTTATGGATGGCTCATTAAATAGGTTAAGGGATCCAATATTCAGTCACTAAAGGACATTCAGAAAACAAAAACCTTTTTTCCTCCATTAATAATAAACTTAAGAGTCTGGCTTGCCTTAGTTATACATCAAATGTTCTCTTCCAAAAAGATGTATCTCTTATCCTATCAACTTCACCAAGTGTAGAGATTTCCAGAAAAAAATACCAACTAGTTGCTGTGTATTACCAGTCTCTGTAATAAAATGGCTATCTGGAACTCTCTGAGAGGCCTGACCAGCCAATTGTTTCAGGTACTGATAAGATGTTTTTATTTCAAGCATTTTACAATGATCTCTCAAATAGACCATACTTAATAATGCACTGTAATTCAGCAACACCCTCATATCTGAAGTAAGTCTGTGGACCTGTTCTCCATGCTAAGCTGAAACAAACCTCTGAGTCTTTAAAAAAAATCCTGCTTCCACCCTTGCCTGTTAGCCATCACTTTCTCCACTGCTCATCAGTTGCTCTCATAGCAACTTTCTTCTCCAGTTTGCTACTTTCAATCTGTTTTGAGCTTAAGAACTAAACACCCAAATCTTTTTTTTAAAGGAAAAGACAGAGAAGGAGAGCACAGTGAGAGTGAGAGGAAGAAGCAGACTCCCTGCTGAGCAGGGCTCATGACCTGAGCCAGAGGCTTAACTGACTGAGCCACCCAGGCGCCCCTAAACACCCAAGTTTTTATGTACTCAATGGATAGTGTATTTATTGAGTCCTTACTGTTTTAGATACGGTGCTAGACAATATTTTCTTCTCAGAGACTAAAAGCATTTTTTTTTTTTTTTTAGATTTTATTTATTTATTTGACAGAGAGCGAGACAGTGAGAGAGGGAACACAAGCAGGGGGAGTGGGGGAGGGAAAAGCAGGTTCCCCGCTGAGCAGGGAGCCCCGATGTGGGGCTCGATCCCAGGACTCTGGGATCATGACCTGAGCCGAAGGCAGCCGCTTAACCGACTGAGCCACCCAGGCGCCCTGATTAAAAGTATTTTTAAGAAACAGAGAGCTCGTGCAAGCACAGCAGGGTAGGCAGAGGGAGGAGAGAATTTTATGCAGGCTCCATTCTCAGTGCGGAGCCTGACGTGGCACTCGACATCACTACCTTGAGATCATGACCTGAGCTGAAATCAAGAGTCAGATGCTTAACTGAATGAGCAACAAAGGCGCCCCTTCTAAAAGTATTTAAGTATTGCCGCAAAATATAGGCAAAAGGAGCTGAATGAGGATCTGACCCATGTACATTATTCTTAGAGAGCTGACTTTCTGCATGCTATTCTGACAACTCTAAGACCATTTCTGCTAACAAACGAAGTTCCTAAGAAGGTGAGTTCTAGACAAATACTGTGCTACTACAGCATTCCAATTTTGAGAGCTATACTAAATAATCCTTCATCCAGCCGTCTGTGGACAACACCAAGGCCAAATTAAGGGACCAGGGATCCTCAGTGTTACAGCGACTGTAAAGAAATTACGCATTATAGTATAGCTGCGATTTTCCCTGTGCCCCCTGTCCTCCTTTATGTTGCTTTTCTTACTTTCCATGGGGAAAGGTAGAAATAATGGATAGTGTTTGGATTCGTTTGCCTTTTACTTTCAAACGTGGAGAAATCATCTCAATCTCTCAACGCCCTCTTTCTAAAAGGGCCCAGAGACGACAGGGGCCAGTTTTATGGACAACGGCTTAACCAGCAACATCGATTCCTTTCTGTTCAGGGACTACTCGGGTAGTTGTTTTTTTCAAGCTGCAGTGCGCTATCCTAACATCTACGAATACAATGTATGGGTTTTTACACAAATCGAAGTAGAGATGCAAATGGACAGTTAATGTTAGGAATGAACACCAATTCCCAGGCTCTCTTTGAGGCCGCGGCCACTAATGGCCGCGTGGAGAAACCGGCAGCACAGCTCTTCACCGCCAAAGTGTGACGCTTCGTGGACAGTTAAACTCCGCGCCCACTGAGAGCGGGAATTACTCAAGAACACTCAGTCTGGAAGCGCAAAGAGGTGAGGAGGACCCTGAAGCCCCTCCAAGAGCCAGGCGAGGCGACCGGGGGCGCGGGTCGCTCCTCTGTCCGTACCTTGCGGGCACCAGGCCCCGTCCCGCGGGCTGCGTGGGCCGCCGAGAAGTCAATGACCGCTCCCAGGTCTGCGGTCCCAGGGCGGCTCTGACGGTAGAAGCGGAAAAGCTTCCGAAAGGCGTCCTCCCGCGGCTCTGCCGCCAGCGTCGCTACAGAGCCCACGGCCGCCGCCATCTTGCCCATGTCAGTGTCAGGCCTCTTCTGACCCGGAAGCAGATTGCGTGCCCCAGATTCGCCGGAGTCTTCCGGGGTCGCGACCACAGGTCACAGAACCCCTCGATCTAAAAATGGCGGCTTCTGCGGTGAGGGGTGCTGTGGCGCTGCGTACGAGTGTTAGCCGGCCCGTGGCTTTTGTCAGAAAAATTCCCTGGACCGCGGCCTCGAGTGAGTGATGGAGACGTGTTTGGGGCGGAAGTTTTAGGTACAAGCGATCCTCAAAAGCACTGCTTTCGGCGGAATACTTAAGTCAGCGTGGTGGCTGTATTAAGAGCTGTGGCTCCTGAGCAAGCCAGTGAGCAGAAATCAAAAAATTTTTTCAGTGAATCGTTCAGGGATGCCCCTTGAGCTTTTCCGGCACGTATTCAGGGTCTCCTGCCTTTCCAGAGTGGCTCGGTGGAACGTTCGTTCCTTGAAAGCTTAAGATTTACGATTTAGAAGGGATTATTTTGACAGTGGTGTGAAGGATGGATTCAAACTGGCAAGATTGAAGGCAAGGAGACTCGCTAAAAGGCAATTTCAATAATTTAGTCCAAAGACGAGGACCTGAAATAGGGTAGTGGTAAAAAGGGGGCCAGATTCACTTATGTTAACATGATCTCTTCTGATACTTTCGCTGGCTTTTCGCGATGGCTTGAATGGAGTTTTTCGCGATGGCTTGAATGGAGTCAGAGTACGGGAGGGAAAGGGAAGAACGACTTCCACGTTTTTAGCGTTGGGGAATATCGTGGTTAGAATGTAGGGGAAGCAGGTTTAAAGAAGATGAGTAAAGTTTAAATGTGTTGAGTTTGAGGAAAACCTGTGAGGTCTCCGTCAGGCAGGTGAACAGAGGAGATTGTGTATCATTGATTGAGAAGTGCACTTTGAAGCCCTGCTGCCTAGGTTAGAATTCCACCTTGGCCATTTAGTAGTTGTGTAACCGTTTCACGGGAGGTAATTTGGGAAAAGGGCTCACCACTGTACCTCAGTTTCGTCTATGAAATGGAGTCAGTAATACCTTCTTGACAGGATTTTTGATTGGATTAAATGAGTTTATATGTAAACCACTTAGACTTGTGCTAGATACAGACTAAATACTCAATAAATGATAGTCGTTTTTGGGATTACTATAATTGAAGCTCATGGGAGAGGCCTAGGCTGGAGATAGAGGGTTGGGAGTAATCAGTATTGAAATCTCTCACCAACATTGATTTTTGTCAGTTGCAGTTTTGAAAAAAGGTTTTTACATTTGCTTACCAAAAATTAAAAATCCACGGTCACTTTTGTAAGTATTCACGTATCAGGTCATCTCCCTTAAACAAAAGAATGGAACTGGGGATTACTTACCTCTTAGCTTTTGTGGCCCAGGTGTGAGTAGTAGAATGGGAAATAGATTGGTTTTGGCCCCACCTTCTTAATATGTAGCAGATGAAGATCTAGGCAGTACAATGTCATGCTTAGGCCCTGTGAAACTGTGTAAAGGCACAGGGATTTCACCTTCATCTTGCAGTTGCAAGTTTCCAGACCATAATGGGTTGGTTTAAAACTCATAAAAAGAGTCTGTGTAACATACAACTTAGAAGCAGCTTCAGTTCGTTGATACATTCAGCAAATATTTCAGGAGTATCTGTTTGTGGTTGGCATTGTTCTTGCAGCAGTTTTCCCGTAGCGCTTATAGGTAATTGGGAAGAGGGTTACCTTCCAGAACTCGTTTGTTTTGGAAGTGAATGTTTTCTAGAATTTTTAATACCTGGTTTAAAACATGCATATTTAACACTATTTTGTTTAGTGTTAAACAACATGTTTGTCCTGATGCTGATCCATGAGGTCCTGAATTTGCTGAATGGTTTGACCAACTGTTAGAGCTCTTCAGAAATTTAGTCCCTGTGGGTTGTTGAAGGATTACTAGGCATTTATTTATTCAGCAAATATTGCCCTACTGTGTTCAATTACTGTTGACATAGTGGACTCAACACTCAGGGAGTTTATGGTGTAGTGGTGAGGGTGAGGAGACTTAAAACAGATACAGGCAGTTGTTGAACCAGTAAGG